TACTGTTCTTTCTTCTAGAAAACATAATCAGCTTACAAACAAAAATAGCTTGGAATCTTCCGAACAGGACTGGATAAACAAAACCGAACTGCATTAATTTTTTACACGAACCAGTCACAGCACGACATTACTATTAATAAAAAAAAAACAGATAAAACCTGCATAGTTATTATCACGAGACGCTTAAACGTCCTTATTCTCATGAGCGGACATAACAATGAATAAGATTCGAGATTATTCTAGACCTTTAATGACAGGGATGGTGGTGACCGGGAAAGTGGAATAATTATTTTTTCTAGTAAAATGATTTGTATAGCTGATATTTTTTTTATATAACTATGCTAGTAACCTCGAGGGATTATCTTGTGTAGTTAAGCTCACGGGGCTCAACCTGGTGACTTTGCTAAGACTGGCCCTAGCAAGAGCAGTGCTTCGTTGAATTTACTACCGGATCGGAATCGCGGCCCACTGAGAAAATCCGGTGAGAAACTCAGAGGGTCCTGACGGTATTCGGGCGACTCTGACATTTTACGGGTGACTCTCACATTATGCGTCATAAGCGACCTGAACTTTCGTTTTTTCAAAATTGCCGCGCAAACCTCACAAAACTAGGTTGCGTATAACTCAGATTTTGCCGCCAAAACGACAATACAATAAACCACAGACCTCAAAACTGATAATGCACAATTAACCTTAAACATATTGCATAATGTCTGATTTTGACATGACTTGAAAAAAAAATTAGAGTCAAATATATCCCCCATAAATTATCATGTTTTTTGTGTCCGATTTTCTTGCTTGCTTTGCCTTGTCACCTTTAAGTAGACGTTCTAGAATCTAGATATTCTAGAATCTTCACCATCAATCGCCCGACGCTGAGCGATGAATCGGATATAAATAGGTACACCTCGCGTGTATTTTAACAGTTTTTTCAACTTCTGACGTATTTAACGATCAAACACACGCAAGGGCTCTGCGTACTTTGTTGTATTCATTATTCGGTTGGCGTTATTCTGAAATTTAAATGATCTCTTTCTAGCGGAACGTAATCTCTTAAGTAGTCCCATTTAACTGTGATCTCCCCGGCTTATACCGTGGCAGGGAGGGGGTTAAGTTTGTAATTCAGACATAATGAAACAAATAAACATAAAACTACCAGTACCAGTCGATTAAGAAATCCGTTGGGAGGTACAATTACGAACCAACGGATATACTGCCGCATTTACTATAGCGGAGACACCCGGCGTCGCCCGGGTCTTATCATTTACCATGATAAAAGTATTGTGTCAATTCAGTTTTAGTTCAGGACCTCTTGTGAGTCTGTACGGATAGGTTGGTGGTACCCCCGCCTATTTATCCCGTGAAGCAGCAATGCGTTTCGGTTTGAAGGGCGGGGCAGCCGTTGTAACTATACTGAGACCTTAGAATTCATATCTCAAGGTGGGTGGCGGCCTTGACGTTGTGGGTGTCTATGGGCTTCAGTAACTACTTAACACAAGGTGGGCTGTGAGCTCGTCCACAAATCTAAGCAATAGAAAATAAAAATAAGAACACGCGCGAAATTTCATCCAAACCCGTTAATTTGTTTTTGCTTGATTGATTAAGAAGCTTTTAATGCTTTATACGGGTAAGTCTTGTTGGTTGCAACTTAAAGTTTGGGGTTCAAATCTCGATAGCTGGTAAAAACGGGTGTCGCATGATGAGCATGATCGTGGATCTACTCGTGAAGCTTTTTGAATGTGGTAAACATAATTGAAGTTCAATTAAAAATCGAACTGTTGATGCTGATACTAAATAAAAAGCACCTTTAATAATAATTGCAAAGACAATTTTTATTTATTTATTTTTATTACTTATATTGGTGGACGAGCTCACAGCCCACCCGGTGTTAAGTAGTTACTGAAGCCCATAGACATTTACAACGTAAATGCGCCACCCACCTTGAGATATCAGTTCTAAGGTCTCAGTATAGTTACAACGGCTGCCCCACCCTTCAAACCGAAACCCATTACTGCTTCACAGCAGAAACAGGCGGGGTAGTGGTACCTACACGTGCGGACTCACAAGAGGTCCTACCACCACTAAATGTCACGTATTACCCGAAATTTTGCTTAAACCAAATACCCTTTTACCCCTCGATATTATCCCTATTTCGGTTTGTGATGATTCCTCGAACGGATGACATCGCGAACCTTGCTTGTTCAACTAAAGAGACCTCAACACAGATATACGAAACGAAATCAGGACGGCGCACGTCCTATGTAGATTGATTGGGTAATTGTTAAATTGTTCCCGATTACAGCGCGCGCCGGTCGGTGCTCGTAAGGGCCGTCTTGTAGTTATAGCTAAGCGCGATGCGATGCACCGCAATTTTCCTTTTAATTTCCAATTAATTTGATTTTGAGGATCCGATGTTAATATAGATAAATAGTTTATTGCGTTTTGCATGTTTTTTTTTTTATTGCTTTGTTGGGTGGACGAGCTCACAGCCCACCTGGTGTTAAGTGGTTACTGGAGCTCATAGACATCTACGACGTAAATGCGCCACCCACCTTGAGATATAAGGTCTAAGGTCTCAAGTATAGTTACAACGGCTGCCCCAGCCTTCGAACCGAAACGCATTACTGCTTCACGGCAGAAACAGGCAGGGTGGTGGTACCTACCCGTGCAGACTCACAAGAGGTCCTACCACCAGTAAGACTCACAAGTGTCGAGGTATTTAGATGTTAAATGGGTCGCGGTTTCGATCCGGTGGTAGATTCTGCGAAGCACTGCTCTTGTTAGGGCTAGTGTAAGCAAATTTTTTCAGGTTGAGCCCTGAGCGAGATAGCATGAGTCTCTGTTTTTGACGATTTAGAATTTTATCGTAACGCAATAAAGATTACATTTCTACGTTGTTAGCACTCGTATTCAATCGGCTTTAGCTTGCTCTTTTCTGCGTTGAGGGATTTTACCGATGCCACTCATAAAAATGGCAGACCTGTAAGACCTGTTATATTTATTTCTTTTCTCGTTTAGTTTCTTGCCGGATTTTCTCAGTGGGTCGCGATTCCGATTCGGTGGTAGATTCTGCGAAGCACTGCTCTTGCTAGGGTTAGTGTTAGCAATTCCTCTCAGGTTGAGCCCGTGAGCTCACCTACCGTCTGCGCTCTCTGGAATAGCCTCTTAGGTTACCAGCGAATAGGTAGGGCAAAGAAAAAAAAACATAGCTTATACTAAGTTTACGGCTTAATCTCGCTTTTATTACTATCGCAAATAATAGAAGGACAGTTAAACACACAAAATTAAACCGTAAAATTAGTTTTCAACTGATTTGCCGAAGCAAATTTTGAGATTTATGTATGTCTTATTCTGTGAGAAAACTTTAAAATAGAATTGAAAAAGTAACAATGATCGGATAGTAAAAATATTTAAAAAAAATCCGTTATTGTTGTCACATTATTCAAATTCTAACATTTTTAGAAAGCTGTTTGCAGTGCGACAGCGCGCTAACAAAATGATTTTATAGAAGGCAAAAGGCAAATTGATCGTTGTTTATTCAGCCTTGAGATACGCAGCAAAAGTATCAAAATTGCAACATCTCAGTTCGTTTAATATCATCAATTGTTTAATGTATTTATACTTACGCGTTTCGAAGTAGGTACTTGTAGGCTCACAATGAATTTAACATTTTATTATTATAGGCGTCTGTATTAAGAATGAGAAAGGGATTATTGCGCGGCAGAGGCAATACGAGAAATACAGGTTCCGTGACTATGGTTAGCGATGCTCACGGACATCTTGCTAATAAATATTTTACTGTTTTTTACTGAGCCCAACACCGCACATAATTAAAAGCCAGAGAATGCACGATATTGACTTTGCTTAACATTGTTGCTTCACGATTTATTTTTTTATTGCTTGGATGGGTGGACGAGCTCACGGCCCAACTAGTGCCCGAAGCCCTCAAGCCCCGAAGACATCTATAGCGTAAATGCCACCACCCAACTTGAGATATATAAGTTCTAAGGTCTCAGTATAGTTACAACGGCTGCCCCGCCCTTCAAACCGAAACGCATTATTGCTTCACGGCAGAAGTAGGCAGGGTGGTGGTACCTATTCGCGCGGACTCACAAGAGGTCCTACTACCATCCTGCCACCAATTTCAATTTTTTTAATTCAGCTAAACACAACAATTTGCAGGAGAAAAAATGTCGAACGTCCATGAGACTTCCTACCATCAGTAATTACGCAAATTATATTTTTGCGGATTTCATATTTATTACACGATGTTATTCCTTCACCGTGGAAGTCAATCGTGAACATTTGTTAAGTACGTATTTCATTAGAAAAATTGGTACCCGCCTGCGGGAATCGAACACCGTTGCATCGCTCGATACGAACGCACCGGTCGTCATAACTTTTAGACCACGATGACTTCAAAAATTTCCCTATATGGCAACGGTTTTCAAGAGATTCGTTCTAGCGTTGAAACGGTTTATTAGAAAAAAAGATTCAGCCTGTTGACTTGTTTTCATGTTATGGTCTACAATAAAGTATTCTTTTTTAATACGCTTTTATTAGCTTCAGACGTATGTATGTAACGGAATCTGTGAACATGATTTAGACCGCCTTCAAAACGTCGGATTAACTCGAAATTCGGTGTACTTATTATTAAGGACCGATGACAATTCAATAATATAAAAAAAAATAAAAAAAAAATAAAAAAAAATAATAGTTTAAAAAAACTAATAAAATACGCTTATATAGAAAATATATGTGTGTGTATATCAGTAGTTATAAATATTTTATGAACAAATATGACTAGAAGGGTTATTCTGATAATATCCTGAAAAGCAAACCAACCCTTTTTTACAATAAAATCATTTTTTCTTACACTATTTTTAATTCAAATTTATTTTCTATTTTTTAATTGGATTTTCTATAAAAGCGTATTTTGTTAATTTTTTTAAAACTATTATTTATTTCTCTCTCTCTCTAACATCCACTTTTGTTCTCAGGTACGATGGGCTCCTTGCCTCGCGTCGCTGTGGTGACTGGACCCAGAGCGCCCGTCCCGACTGCCCCCCTCACTCACCACCTCGGCCCTTTAGCCAAGAGCGACAGGACAGCTCTTATTTACAAAGGTACGTTGCAAACTGTTTTAGGTTTCCGATCGGAGTTTGAATTGTCGGGTTGCTATACCACGTGTAGAGGGTCGACACGGATACCCGATTCCCGCAGAAGCAAATCTTGGAAAGGAGAGCTAAGCCGTCTTCAGACTACGCTATAACATAATAGCATTTAGTATATAGCTCATAGCACAGCAATATCGCACACCATACTCTACTATATATTATTGGCTAAGTATAGGCTGCTATATTGTATGGCACTATAGTATAGCGTTTTTTTTTTGTTTTTTTTTTTGCCTTTGTAGGCAGACGAGCATACAGCCCACCTGATGGTAAGTGGTGACCGTCGCTCATGGACGTCAGCAATGCCAGGTGCCAAGCCGCTGCCTACCATTAGACGCTTATCTAACAACTGCCATTCTCTTAGCATGATTTCGACGTCACCCAAAATACGTCATTACGGATCCTCCCGATCCATTAACGGAGCTTTTGGTACCACAAGCACCGATCACCGTCCTCGTCTAAACCATCGCTTGCGACGAAGGGCTCGACGAGCAATTTAACCCACAGACACAGCCCACTGAGTTTCTCACCGGATCTTCTCAGTGGGTCGCGTTTCCGATCCGGTAGTAGATTCTGCGAAGCACTGCCCTTGCTAGGGCCAGTGTTAACAATGCTTCCGCTTTTTTTTTTCGTGTGGCCGGGGGAATTCTTCATGAATACCCATGGGAAAGTAATAAACATAAACATAAGCCATAAACAGGCTGTAACACAAGTTCTTTACGAACTTAGCACGGGACCAGTTAACGTGGCGTGATCGTTAGTAAATATATAGTATATATATAATATATAATGTACAAAATTTTGATAACAAAACTGATCACTACGATTTTCATACAGACGAGATCTCCAGCGTTCAGGTCAGTCATGCAGAGCTTGCAGCGAGGACTAATGTCCTGGCGAGAGCTATCAGCGAGAGGGCCAGGACTGTGGGACCGAACAGAGATAGTGACTACGTAATTGCTGTTTGTATGCAGCCCACACACAAGTAAGTACGCAATTTATAAAAAATCCTTTATGGCTGAAACGCTTCTTGTGAACTCGCACTGGTAGATACCTGGCACTGGTAAGCTGCCTATTTCTGCCGTGAAATTGTAATGCGGCTTGAAGGCTGGAGCAGCCGTTGTACTGCAAAAAGTAATCGTGGCCTAAAAGATAAGATAATAAGATAATAAGATAATCTCGTATCGAGCGATGCAACTGTCCCGGTGTTCAAATCCCGCAGGCGGGTAACGATTTTTGTAATGAAATACGTACTCAATAAATATACCCAAATGACTTTCACGGTGAAGGAATAACATCGTGTACGAAAAATCAAAGTTGCAAAAATTTTATTTTGCGTTAATACTGGTGGTAGGACGTCTTATGAGCTGGCACATGTGGATGCCATCACCCGGCCCGTTTTTGCCGTGAAGCAGTAATGCGTTTCGGTTTGAAAGGCAGTCGTTGTACCGTAAAAACTGAGACCTTAGAACTCATGCTTCAAGGTGGGTGACGGGATTTACTTTGTTGATGTCTATGGGCTCTAGTACTCCACTACTACCTACTTCTAAGCAATTAAAAATAAGTTCTATGTTTCGGTTCGAAAGAGCACACCTTTAATGTCCATGGAGATACATTCGTCACCAGTCCCATTAGAACACATTTTATTTGCAAATTCTATTGTGATTTTTGATGTGGTACATCTATAGCCGCAGGTAAAACCGATTTCTGGCGTGGCGACGCATGCTATGGCGACGCGTCGCCACGCTATATGATGGTATATAATATATACAGTCTATATGCAGTAGTGTGTACGGTGTGGCGACGCGTCGCCATGCCCAATCGACTGTGTGATTCTCTCCCACTCGATCCAGCGTTAAGCCATCTCTCTCGCTACACTGAGCTCGGATACCTATAGTGTATACAGTGTTGTTTACTACAATACACATAACCTGTGTTTTACTTGAAAACAAATTATTTTTTTGTAATATTTTATTTTATCATTATGACATATTTAGTTCCTATCACAATCTGTTCTTTTCTGCATATTACTTTTACAAAATAAGGTCGATGTTTCACATCTGCCAGGCGTCCCGTGACGGCTCACATTTTTTTATTTCAGTACGATAATGGCGTTGTTAGCGACGTGGAAGGCAGGAGCAGCGTACGTACCAATGGAGCCGAGCTTCCCTCAGGGCAGGATCACTCACATACTGAAGGACGCCGAACCTTCCCTTGTCATTTATGATGATAGCGGTAATAATTAGTTTATTATACTCCTTAATATGTACCTGCGGAATAATAGACATAAGATTAGGGTTCCCTGAATAAATGTTCGGCATTCGACGAGTATATTTTACTGGTGGTAGGACCTCTTGTGAGTCCGTACGGGTAGGTACCACCGCCCTGCTTATTTCTGCCGGGGAGCAGTAATGCGTTTCGGTTCGAAGGGTGGGGCAGCCGTTGTAACGATACTAAGACCTTAGAACTCATATCTCAAGGTGGGGGCGATGTTTACGTCGTAGATGTCTATGAGCTCCGGTAACCACTTAACACTAGGTGGGCTGTGAGGTCGTCCAGTCATCCATGCAAAAAAAAATCTACACCTAACTCAAGACGAAGTCTTAGTTAGATTGACGGCGTTGATTGTAAATAAGTTAGAGTTTAAAAGAAATAAGAACCGAGTATGCTTGACAAATATTTCGGTACAAAAAAAATTAATCAATATTCGTATGTAATCTAAACTAATCGTACTGTATTGTTCCAGCGGACCCCTCAATGTTCAAGGAAAGCGGAGTACCGTTCGCGTCATTCGAAGAGTTAGCGCAGGAAGCAACCAGCCACTCAGCCGACGAACCAATGGATGCGGAGACACTGGCTCCACTTACAAGTGACAGCATCGCTATCGTACTCTACACTTCTGGAAGCACCGGCATTCCGAAAGGTACATAAAACTCCCTTACATTTCTATTGTTTTCGATAATTATGCGTCAGTTAAAGGGTCCATTACCCAGCCACAATTACCTCCTATATACCGATTTAACTAACTAAGACCTCACGGAAGATTTGTGCGTCGTCTGATTACCAAGCTTAAACCTTCGACGGGAACTACTTTTCTCAAGGATCTGACGGTACTGAATTTGTTCAGAAAACATTAATCTGGTGCGGTGGGTCGAAATTCACCCCCAACGATATTTCCATCAGAGCGTCTTTTTTTTTTGCCCTTGTAGGCAGACGACCGCACGGCCCACCTGATGGTGAGTGGTTACCGTCGCCCATGGACTTCAGCAATGCCAGGGGCAGAGCCAAGCCGCTGCCTACTATAAAATGTATTTTTCATAGTTTATGTATGAAAGTCTATCAAAGATCTGATGATACAGGTGTGCGTTTGTCGTACTCGGCAATCTGCAATCGTCTCTGGTGGCAGTTCCGCACGTTCCCCTATTCCGACTCCGAAGAGATCTGCGTTTGGAAGACCGCGCTCACTTTCGTGGATTCCGTCTGCGAGATATGGGGACCGCTGCTGCACGGGAGAGCCTTGCTAATACTGTCGAGGGAGACCACCAGGGATCCTCAGAAACTTGTCAACGTCCTCGCTGATAATCAGGCAAGGAATTTTTCTATAATGCGATGGTGATTTAGAACAGGTCGGTGGGTCGCGTATCCGTTCCGGTGGTAGATTCTGCGAAGCACTGCTCTTGCTAGGGCTAGTGTTAGCATCACTCCGGTTTGAGCCCCGTGAGCTCACCTACTAGTTAAGGTTACGCTGAAATAGCCTCTCAAGGCTATCAAAAAGAACAGGAGGGCCCGTGAAAATACATTGTATGGGTTTAAATGATTTAAAATACATTGCTTCGTTCATTTAAAACAATTGAAATAGAGGGCGTCCATAGCGGCTTGACTGTCATTGCTTGTAACTTTTTTATTGTCTTCGGGTGCAACCTAGCTTACAGCTCATCTGGTGTTAATTGGTTTCTAGAGTAGATAAGTCACGTCATTGTCAGATCTCCTCGCAGCAGATCTACCACGAATGGGCCTCTGCATCCGGGGTCACAATACGGCCCACCTCCAGTAAATACATTCCCCGGGATTTCCTCAAATAACTTCCGGTGTACAAGGAACTTTCATAGGTCCGATGGCCTTGGATAGTGTTAAGGAAACACGCCCAGGTCACGATAACGTTCAACTAGGGAATGCATAATTCATGAGAGCGATTATGTCTTAATGGCTTTCGATTGACGCTTGTAATGTAGTCAATCAAAATTAGTATTCATTGTTCAGGTTAATCTGTGTCGCGTTGCAAAGTAATATGTGATTTTTAAGTGAAAATCTTAAGTATATATAATACGCAGTTAATTAATTATTAGTGAATACTACGGGTCTACAAGGAGAAGTATTCGAAGTAGCTCAGTGACAGAAAATGATGAGTGAAATTTTATTGTAAAAAAAAGCGTGGGGTACAATAAAATCATTTTTTCTTACACTATTTTTAATACAAATTTATTTTCTATTTTTTAGTTGAATTTCAATTTTTTCAATATTTTTTTTATTAACAGATTGAAAGGCTCGTGTTGGTTCCAACTCTGCTACGTTCCATCCTGATGTACCTGGCGTTGGGCCCCGCCTCACGACCGCTGCGGCGTCTCAAGCTGTGGGTCTGCTCCGGGGAAACCCTCAGCAAAGAGCTGGCTTCGGAGTTCTTTAAGTACTTCGGCAATGAGGACGGATACAAGCTCGCCAACTTCTACGGAAGCACTGAAGTCATGGGCGACGTGACGTATTACGTCTTGGAAGGCAGCGACCAATTGGATTTGTACCCGACTATTCCTATTGGTGAGGACTTTTTTTTTATAAATTGCAAACACGAGGAAATTCTTTGAAGTCGTGGCCTAAAAAGGATAAGACGTCCGGTGCATTCGTATCTAGCGATGTACCGGTGTTCGAATTCCGCAGGCGAGTACCTATTTTTCTAATGAAATATGTACTTAGCAAATGTTCACGATCTGCTTCCACGGTGAAAGAATAACATCGTGTAATAAAAATCAAACCCGCAAAATTATAATTTGCGTAATTATTGGTGGTAGGACCTCATGTGAGCCCGCACGGCTAGGTACCACCACCGCGCCTATTTGTGCCGTGAAGCAGTAACGCGTTTCGGCTTGAAGGGTGGGGCAGCCGTTGTAACTATACTGAGACCTTAGAACTTATATCTCAAGGTGGCTGGCGCATTTGCGTTGTAAATGTCTATGGGCTCAAGAAACCACTTAACACCAGGTGGTCTGTGAGCACGTCCAGCCATCCAAGCAATAAAAAAAAAGCTGTTGTCAAAGTCCAAATACATTATACAACGTCAATGCACTGAAGTAGGAAACCTATGGAAATGAAACGTCAACCAAAAATTCGTGCCACTGTGACGTCATCTGACCACAAAACATGGCGGTTTTAGTGCTGTAAAAAAGATTTCAATGTTATCAGGTTTTATCGATAAACGTTCTTGGCTCATTTTATTTTAAATATTGTTGAGTATTATTTATTTGTAGAATTTATACTTTAATGGGAAGTATTCCTTGTGACTTCCTCTGTAAAATCACTTAAGTATTAAATATTTAACGAATTTACAATAGTGTTTTACTCACTGGGAATAAAACTATTTTATTAAAATAGTTCCGAAGAGATTTTGTCGGTAGCCTTTTTCCCGAAATATCTAAACAGAATGTCTAAATATGTTTTGATGACATATTTTAAAGAGTTATTTATGATTAGTGTCATGATCAATAGATTCCGACCGAAAAATGGTGTCCGATTTTTCGGATGAGGGCTCCTTAATGAATTTAAATATATATAGATAATAGTTTTGGGGCATCGACTTTCTTGAGATCCTATAAAATACGTTTTAATTATTATTTTTGTATGTTCTAAGCATGATAAATTATGAAATTTTATATAAGCAATCATATTTAATCGATATCAAAGTCAATAATTAATGTACAACCCAAAACAGACGGCCGAACTGACGTGACAATGACATTTGGCGCGCTAAACATGGCGGATTTTCGGCCGCATTAGACGGAGACGGAGATATTTACGTATATTCATGTTTCATTTTATGTACGCACTGAAATACTGTTATATTGTTTTCCTGCGAGTTAAAGTGCTGAGTAAGAACGAGATAGATATATGTTTATGTGTGTGCCTTCAAAATGGGTGCTATTTATATAAGCAATTGTACGTATAGAACAATATGCCGTGTCCCTACTATATAGGTCTATGCGTCAATGCCACTACCCGCTGTCAGACTTGAGGTGGACGTCTCAAGTAATTACGCAAATTCAAAAATTTTGTGGGTTTGACTTATTGCTTCATCGTGGAAGTTTCAAACACGAATTTTGTTACAACAATTGGTACCTGCCAGCGGGACTCGAAGTCCGGCATAGCTACCCCGCTCGATGCGAACGCACCGAGCGTCTTATCTGTTAGGCCACGACGACTCCTAGTAGATCCAGGTTTATGGTTTTAATGATTAACAATAATCTATATATTAATACGAGAAGCAAAAACTTTGTATCCATTTTTACGAAAATTGCGCGGACGGAGGAGTTTGAAATTTCCCACGCTTATAGAGAATATAGAGAAGGAGTGCAGAATGTTAATATTTTTTAAACTATGAATAAAAAATAAATTAAATCTATAAAAAACAAAACATTACAGACACTACCATGTACTTTACAAAACACATAATAATATATTTAAACTATATGTTTATTGTCAAATGTTTGTTATTCTTTAAAGTCCGTAGTCAAATTGAGAATAGATTAATATTATATTTCTTTAATATTATTTGTCTTTAATATAGTCTTGGTGAAATCTGTGATTATAGGAAGTAAAATAAATAGTCTTCGACAATAGAACCATAATAATGTTCAAACTTACAATTTCCATGAATTATAGTCGAATTTCGACTACCGCGGGACTACTAGTATTAATTATTTTTTATTTATATTTATTTAAAATCTTATTAATTACATAATATTTTTTAAAAAAAGTTATTAAAAATACGATTTTTAAAAAACACTATATAAAAATAGATTGCCGCTGATGGCCGTGTCTACGACACAAACCACCAGTGGTTAGGACTCCAGAGTGAGAAACCTCCTCACAATGCGTGCAGTATCGAGGATTAATTATTTTTATTGTTAGCCATATCAGATTTAGAAATTCATTACAATATCGTTTCACTGATTACAGGGAGGCCCTTGGACAATTGTGCGATATACCTGTTGGATGAGGAGTTGAGCCCGACCCGTGATTCCGAGCCGGGCGAGGTTTGGGTCGCGGGAGCTAATCTAGCCGCTGGATACGTTGGAGGCGGCGGCGCGAACCGCTTCTGTGATAACCCTCACGCCACTCAACCTGGTAAGATATGATCGGTATTTTAATTTGCGTAGAACAGTGGACAAGCTCGCGGTTCTAATCGGACCTCACGTGACCGATGCAAGGGAGGAGTGAGGCTCTAATGAAATACATACTCAACAAATGTTCACGATTGACTTCCACGGTGAAGGAATAACATCGTGTTATAAAAAACAAACCCACAAAATTATAATTTGCGTAATCACTGGTGGTAGGACTCTTGGGAGTCCGCACGGGTAGGTACCACCACCCCGCCTATTTCTTCCGTGAAGCAGTAATGCGTTTCGGTTCGAAGGGTGTGGTAGCCGTTGTAACTATACTGAGACCTTAGAACTTATATCTCGAGGTGGGTGGCGCATTTATTTTGTAGATGTCTATGGGCTCCAGTAACCACTTAACACCAGGTGGGCTGTGAGCTCGTCCATCTATCTAAGCAATAAAAAAAAAAGGTCATAAAACAGCAACCTCCTTATTGAATTGTTTTCGACGACTCAGAGGAAGTGTCACGGACGTAGCAAGCCGAATAAACGCTGGTTGGGTGAAATGGCGACAGGTCTCTTAATAGCATGCGATCGTAGAATGCCCCTTCAGGTCAAGGAGAAAATTTACAAATCGATCATTAGACCTGTCGTGCTGTATGGATCTAAATGTTGGGCGACGAAAGTAAAGCATGAAAGAGGAATGCATGCGGCAGAGATGCGAATGTTGAGATGAATGTGTGGAGTGACAAGAATGGACAAGATAAAAAATGAGTATATCAGAGGAAGTGTGAAAGTAGCTCTGGTAATTAAAGAGCGGACGGTTAGCGTAGTATGGACATGTGAGGCGTAGAGAGGAGACGCATGTGACTAGGAGATGTATGGAAATGGTAGTGCAAGGTAAAGGGGGAAGAGGTCGACCGAAGAAGACATGGATGGAGGGTGTGATTGATGATATGAGAGAGAGAGAGAGAGAGGAGTGAGTGTTGAAATGACGGCTGATAGAAGAGAATGGAAGAGAAAAATTAGCTGTGCCGACCCCACCTAGGGGGATAAGGTAGAGAAAAAGAAGATATCATAAGCTCCAAACGTGACGTGTTTAAAAAAAAAACTAAAATATCAGTGTAGTAATATTCGACTGAATATTTCTGGGCTGATGGTTGTCTCGGTAGCCTAGCAACATGAGGGAGACCATGGGTCTAAGTGAATATGTAGGGTCTTTCATCAAACGAATGTCGTTATTTTGAACACATATACACTCGAAAGCAATTAATTCGGTTCACTCCAAAATCCTATAAATCTCGGAAACTAAGAATGCTAGCTTAATAAAATAAATTGTGTTTAGTAGACAATTGAATGCTCCTTAAATTAAGGTATTAAAACTTCTTAGTTACTGCAAGGTTATGTCATAAAAAAATCAAATTTGAAAAAGGGACACTTTCGAAGATGGAACTAGGAAATTACTGCATTTGATTTTGCTTTTGTTTTCTAATCTATCAATTATGTGGTTATATAAACCATATTGATAGTTTTCAATATTTATTATTCAACATGTAATCATGTCGCTTACAACTGAAGAATGAACCAGAAACCTCAAAAACATACCTTAAAAAGGTTGAAAGTACGATTCAAAATGTTGCCAGATTTCGTGTGCTCTGTGACAAGTAACGGTATTGCCATAAAAGAAGTACTTTTTTCCAGATTTCCAACGTTTATACCGCACAGGAGATTTCGGGACTCTTGTTAAGGGCGCGGTGCTGTACGCCGGTCGCACGGACGCCCAGGTCAAGATTCGAGGACACCGCGTGGATCTGCTGGAAGTGGAAAGAGCGCTGGCCCAAGTCCCAGGAGTTGACAAGTGTATGTGCAATCGGATATAGAAGTATTCGCATATAACTGTACTATATTGGACATTTTAAGAATTTTATTAATGACTAGCTGTATCCGTCCGCTTCGCTGGGCATTATTATTTCTCACCCTCATAAAGATTCTCATCATTAACGCCCCCGCAACTGGTGTAGGGAGTCCAACACTCATATAAATATTAGCCTATCCATTAAGTACATGTATTTTCTACATGGATACCAAGTTTCAAGTCAATCGGATGCATGGTTCAGTAGTTATAACGGAACATCCGTAAAAACCACTGTAGATTTATATTAGTATAGAGTTAATGTTATGTTTTTAAATCGATTTATCAAAATCGATATTGTATGTACGTATACGTACATAATACGTACGTAATACATACGTACATAATAATAAGCATCTATCTATCCCTATCGATGGAATTTTTGGAATTAGAATTTATTAATTAATTATCAACATGAAATGGAAGTCTCAATTGTATTGTATAACTTGTTTTTTTTATTGATTAGATGGGTGGACTGGTTCACAGCCCACCTGGCGTTAAGTGCTTACTGGAGCCCATAGACATGTACAAAGTAAATGCGCCACCCATCTTTAGGCAGGGTGGTGGTACCTTTTTTTTTTTTTATTTTTTTTTTTTTTTTTTTTTTTTTTTTTTTTTTTTTTTTTTTTTTTTTTTTTTTTTATTTTTTTTTTTTTTTACCCGCGCGGACTCACAAGAGGTCCTACCACCAGTAAATATATAAGTAACTAGCGACCCGCCCTCGCTTCGCTTCGGGGACTATCACTTATTATTGATTTATTGAATTTTCATTTATACAAATCTGAACATGAGAAAATGATGTAATATAGGATATTGTATAGCGGATTGTTTGTAGTACCACCATTAGGTTCTACCACGTGGCTCTCAAAATACTTTGCCAGCGCTGCCATTCCCCTATCCCCTATCTATTGCCGCCACTTCTGGCTGCTTCTGGGAATTCATAGAGTTACAAATGTAATTTACGCCCTTTCAATTGAAGCTTGCCAACGTATTTTTCAGTTTTTCAATATACTTACTTACCTTGAAAGTTGGCATAATTTTTTCTTGAATAGCTTTTGTAGCTCCAAATGACGTCATTTAAAAGCAATTATTGTATTGCTTGCCACGAGTGGCAGTGCCAAAATTGAATGTGATGACGTACGTACGTTGTTATATGTTGATAATGTTGTATGCAGGCGTGGTCCTATGCTACGGTTTGGACAGAGGCAACCCTGAGATCCTCGGCTTCGTCACAACCAAGCCGGGCGCTCGGACCAGCGCGCAGCACATCGAGGGCAAGCTCAGGAACGCCCTGACCCACTACATGATGCCGCAGGTCAGACCCTGGTCACCAGCAGCCTAACTGGATCGACTGTTCTGTTAATGGCGTACATTTGAACCGAGAACATTCTGAACTCGACTATTCGTCAGCGAGCATCCGATTACGAACAGATATTAAAAGTCATACGGTTCGAAATTTTGTGTTTCCGGGGCAATCCTCGAAAAATTGATTTTTTTTGAGTTTGGCAACACTGACGTAACTTATCTGCACTAGAAACCAATTAACACCAGAGAGCTGTAAGCTAGGCTGCATCCGAAGATAATAAAAAAGTTACACGAGCAATGACAGACAGTCAAACCACTATGGACGCCTTCCATTTCAATTGTTCTAAGCGAATAAAGCAATGTATTTTTAATAATTTAAACCGATACAATGTTTTTCCACGGGCTCTCCTTTTTTTTTTTACTGGAGCTCATAGACATCTACAACGTAAATGCGCCATCCACCTTGAGATATAAGTTCTAAGGTCTCAGTATAGTTACAACGGCTGCCCCGCCCTTCGAACCAAAACGCATTACTGCTTCATGGCAGAAATAAGCAGGGCCGTGGTACCTACCCGCGCGGACTCACAAGAGGTCCTACCACCAGTAAGTCTAACGGTATATGCGGTATATGAGTCTAAATCATAAAATATCCAATTGAATCTTTCAGGTAATCGAGGTTGAAAGCATTCCTCTGCTGGTAAACGGCAAAGTGGACCGACAGGGACTCCTGAAGATGTACGAGAACACGAACAACAATGGTAAACAAAAAACACCTTTACTATCTTAAAATTTCAATTATGGAGTTAGTAGTAAGCCTAGCTAGTAGAATCAGACTAGATTTTCATAATTACTTTTTTTTTTGCCCTTGTATGCAGACGAGCGCACGGCCCACCTAATGGTGAGTGGTTACCGTCGCCCATGAACTTCAGCAATGCTAGGGTCAGAGCCAAGCCGCTGCCTACCGAAACTATTACTATTACTATAGAAATGAGACCAGCATAGCTATTACAGGTCTAGAATACCTTTTTTTTTATTGCATAGGCGGGTGGACGAGCTCACAGCCCACCTGGTGTTAAGTGGTTACTGGAGCCCATAGAGATCTCCAAAGTAAATGCGCCACCCACCTTGAGATACTGGTGGTAGGACCTCTTGTGAGTCCGTGCGGTCAGGTACCACCGCCCTGCCTATTTCTGCCGTGAAACAGTAATAAGGGCGGGGCAGCCGTTGTAACTATACTGAGATCTACTGAGATATACTGAGATGCGGTGGCGCATTTACGTTCTAGATGTCTATTGACTCCAGTAACCACTTAACATCAAGTGGGCTGTGAGCTCGTCCACTCACCTAAGCAATAAAAAAAAAAAGATATAAGTTCTAAGGTTTCAAGTATAGTTACAAGTTATGTATCAGTAATGGCTCGTCTAAGCCTCAGAAGAAAGGCTCAGGGTTCTTGTCGTGTCTTAGACTGTGTGGTTCGTTTTGCAGACGACGCCGAGGTAGCCGTCGACATTGACTGCAGTGGCGCGGGGCTCGCGGACCTGGAGGCAGCCCGGGCCCTCTTGGAGACGGTGGGCGCCGTGCTCGGCAGGGCCGCCAGAGGAACGCTGTCTCTGAGGTCCGGCTTCTATGAGCTGGGAGGGAACTCTCTGAACTCCATCTACACTATCACCAAGTTGAGGGACAGAGGTTACTATGTGGGTGAGTCGATTAGCTTTGTGTTCAACTTTTTTTTTTTATTGCCCTTGTAGGCAGACGGGCACACGGCCCACCTGATGGTGAGTGGTCACCGTCGCCCATGGACTTCAGCAATGCCAGGGGCAGAGCCGAGCCGCTGCCAACCGAAATGCACCTGGGTGTCGAGAGCTTTAAAGAGTGATCAGTGCGTTTACTGCGAGGTTTTTAACTTCTCGATCGCGTAAAAGTTAACTCAATTTTATATGGAGCCCCTAGCGGAAAATGTATAGCTAACAACAAAGGACTTCTCAGTCTACTAAATTAACGTTACACCTTGCAGTGCTCGCAGTGTATATAGGAACATAGCTCTGAAGGATGAGACGACCGTTATACAACTATTGAGTCTCAAGAGTGACGTCATCCACGTTGTGACGTCAACGGGTTTCGGTAACTGCTTAAAGCCAATCGGTTCAATGGAAAACCTTACACTTCAGTAACTAAATTTTTGCTTACAATGTTTTTTTGGGTTTTCTACGCAGAAATCAGCGACTTCCTGGGAGCTTCCACTCTGGGCGAGGTTCTGTCGAAGATGTCGACGGATCCTAATGGCGGCGCCGACTCGAAGGAGGCCACGTTCATAGCCGTGCCCATGAGGGATGAGCACAAGAAGGAAGTTATTGAGTAAGAACATTACAAAGACCAGTTACATACCTGTCTGATATTTGTTTGAACGCTGAAGTTTTTGTTCTCATAGTTTCTCATTGATTACGATTTAGGAATCAACCGAGTCTTATGCATCCATATGAGAAAAATTCATCCACAGTGCGTTCTTAGAAATCGTTGCTCTCAATTTTTTTCCCTACTTATTTTCTGATAGCCTAGGGCGCTATGCCAGCTACGCACGGACGTGTAGGTCAGCTCACAATTGAGAGAATTTGCTAACACTAACGTCTAGCCCTAGCAAGAGCAGTGTTTTGCAGAATCTACTACCGGATCGGAAACGTGATACCCTGAGAAGTTCCGATGAGAAACTTAGTGGGCGCTTCTTAGTAGATCTTCTTACCCTACTCGAGAATCTAAAGTATGTCAATTTATACATTTCATTGCTTGGTTTGCAGTCGCTACCAAATCCTGTAGATATGACGGCGTCAATGCCACCTTATGGTATGTGTAGTCTCCTTTACGTTGTATAAAAGGATGTCCCCCCTAGCCCCAACCACAACGCGTTACGGCTTCATGGCAGAAATAAGACAATATGACAGTACTCAATCAGTGCCAATGCAATATTACCGCGACGAAAGGCTCGGCGAGGCACAGGCCACTGAGTTTCTCGCCGGATCTTCTCAGTGGGTCGCGTTTCCGATCCGGTGGTAGATTCTGCGAAGCACTGCTTTTGCTAGGTTTAGTGTTGGCAACGTCGTCAGGCTTGAGCCCCGTGAGCTCACCTACTGGTTAGTGTTACAAAGCCTCTCAAGGCTATCAGCTTAGTAGGGAAAAAAATACCGCCAGGGAGCAGCAGCCTTACATTAACTAATTCGGGTAAATGTTCATTCCTCTGCAGCATGGTGGTGTCCTCGTTCTACGAGAAAGCCGAGCTGGAGCAGTTCTTGAAACACGAGATCGAGACCAGGGACTACGCCGACTGCATCGACGCGTGCTGGCCGGCACTGCTGCAGGCCGGACTGAGTGTCGTCCTCAATGACGGTAAGCAACCTGTTACAGCAATCTTAGCAGAGCCATTGAGCCCGACTGACCAGATGTTATCTTACTGGTGGTAGGACCTTTTGTGAGTCCGCACGGGTAGGTACCACCACCCTGCCTATTTCTGCCGTGAAGCAGTAATGGGTTTCGGTTTGACGGGTAGGGCAGCCGTTGTAACTGTACTTGAGACCTTAGAACTTATATCTCGAGGTTGGTGGCGCATTTACGCTGTAGATGTCTATGGGCTCCAGTAACCACAGCCCACCTGACCTTACCAGGTGGGCTGTAAGCTCGTCCACCTATCTAAGTAATTAAAATTAAATTAAAAAAATGTCGTATCTCGCAAAACGGTCGATAATCCGGATCATTGACTCTCATTCGCCTCACTAGTAGCTCTAGATCGAACCGGGTCCATTGACTAGATTGACAAAGATCTATTTGTTTTATTGCTTACACAACTAAATGATCTCACAGTCCGCCTGTTTTTAAGTGGTTACCGGAGCCCATAGACATGGACTACGTAAATGCCGCCTTGAGACATGAGTTCTAAGTCTCAATTTTAATAAGCAGAGTGGTGGTAGCTACTCTTGACGACTCACAAGACGCCCTACCACCAATAAAGAACAGCTTGACTTCTATTTCAATGTTTGGTAACAAATACGAAACTAGTTCTGAAACCATCTGCCTATAGTTTAATTAAAATAGTCTGCAGTTTCGCCTACAAGGTAACTTTTATTAGCTCTGCTCATCATTAGCTAATCAAGAATAAAATAAATGTAAACTAATATCGTTGAGAACGTACGCAGTGGTCCTCCTATTCTAATAGGATATTTTAGATATATATTCGTCTCTTTCTTACACCAACTAAATTGAAGATACGACTTCGGCACGACAGAGAAGTTTAGCTTTTTCTAAGGAAGAGAGACACAGACGAGGCGTATTAGACCTCATTTTTCATTTAATTAAGGTTTAAAACTGCATGTATTACGACAGTGAACAGCGAACCAGTAGCAGTGGCTTTGAACTTCGACGTGAGAGACGAACCTGAGATCGAGCTGTCTGGAGGGCTTGCCAAGATCATGGGATTTTTGGAGTACGTGGAGGGTTCCGTGAGGGACACCATGCTGCCCCACGGGAAAGGTACGTAATGGATATACTTCTGTTGTCTATGACTGAACATCACATTGTCCAGAATTTGCTTCCTCATCGTAATTCCTCATCGTTTATTAATTATCCCATCAAAGCAAATACTTATTTATATAATTTATAGATATATGCACATTAAACTCAAAGCTATGATACTCTCGTTCCATCGAATCGCTTGGGTCTGCGGAGTAACTTCGGTTCCATGGGGAGTGCTCTGAGGAATTGTTTGAGATGATACCATCATCTCGTTTATACCATCGCACTGTCCGCCGCCGGAGTAGAGTTCATCCATATTACTTGGAGCCACTGCGTTCATCCACACATCTTTTTTCCACGTACCACTCGGCTTTGGAATGAGCTCCTCTCCACGGTGTTTCGCGAGCGCTATGACATGTCTTTCTTTAAATGTTTGTGGAGAGTATTAAACGGTAGGCAACTGCTTGGCCTCTGACATTGACATCGATGGGCGATGGTAATCACTCATACATAACGTGGGCCGTATGATCGTCTCCCTAAAAGGGCATAAAAAATTAGATCCCCGTGGTCATCATTCCAGGTGCTGTGCTGCATTCGTTCATGATGGCGACGAGTGAGCGTCTGAGTGCACGAGACAATGTGTCCGCCATCCGCGCTCTGGAGCTAGCCACAGACCGAGTAGCGAGACAGAGACGCTTCAGAGGCGTGTTCACGACCAACACGAGTCCGCTCACGCAGGTAATGTAGCCTTGAGAGACTATTTCAGCTTCGCCCTAACATATAGGTGAGCTCACGGGGCTCAAACCGGAGTGTTGCTAACACTGGCCATAGCAAGAGCAGTGAGTGCTACAGCCTACCACCGGATCGAAAACGCGACCCACTGAGAAGATCCGGCGAGAAACTCAGTGGGCTATGTCTGTGGGTTAATTCGCTCGTCGAGCCCTTCGTCGCAAGCAACGGGTTCGACGAGAACGGTGACCAGTGCTTGTGGTATCTAAAAGCACCGTTAATGGGTCGGATCCGTAATGACGTGTTTTGGGCGACGTCGACTATTTACCATTCGGTCTACAGGATCGGGTATGTAATTCCCAGCGGCCACGACAAGAGGTTTCTCATGTCGTGCCGCCTTCTCAAAGTGGCGCAATGATGCCGACTGTAGCTACTTACTGACTGATTAACACAGTAATGAAGTCGATAAGACGCCTGGTGCAGTCGCATCAAGCGTATACAGGCTACAATTATACGTACTTAACAAATGTTCACGATTGACTTCCACGGCGAAGGAATAATATCGCGTAATAAAAATCAAAACCTGTAAAATTACAATTTGCGTTTTTACTGGTGGTAGGGCGTTTTGTGAGTACGCACGGGTATGTACCACCACCCTGCCTATTTCTGCCGTGAAGCAGTAGTGCGTTTCGGTTTGAAGAGCGGGGCAACCGTTGTATTGTAAAAACTGAGTACATGTATTTGGCTTTCTCGGTGGTGCAGGAGTTAGTGGCCTTGATTGTTGCACCGAGGGTCGTGTGTTCGATTCCCATAACGGGCAATCATTCGTGTGACGAACATATTTGTTTGCTCTTTGTCTTAGTGTTTATTATCTATATATTAATACGTGAAGCAAAAACTTTGTATCCCTTTTTACGAAAATTGCGCGGACCGAGGAGTATGAAATTTTCCACACTTGTAGAGAATATAGAGAAGAAGTGCACAATGCTAATATCTTTTTAAAATATTGCATAAAAGATACATTAAATCAATAAAGAAAACATTACACACACTACATACCATGTATTTGACGCACACACGCTTGCATACTATTTATTGTCACTTTTGTTCTTGACGTCTGTTGTAAAATTGAGATTAAATATTGTTTGTCTTTGTTAATATTTTTTATAGTGTAGTCTTGGCGAAATTTGTGATTATAGAAGTATAAAATACAATCATAATATTGTAAAAACTTACAATTCCAATTAACTATAGTCGAATTTCGACTACTGCGGGACCTCTAGTATATTTAAACACATTTATGTATGTCAATCACAGATTTGTTTCAAGTTGTTTATTTATTTATACCTACTTGGATTGTCATGAGCACAAACGTTGAATTGGCAATGAATTTAGTTACTTTTTTTTAGCAACTCGGCACAGATATACTCGGATTCAAAACACTGCTAGACTACCAAATAAATCAGTACGTGGACCCCAACGGCGAAAGGATCTTCGGAAAAGCACCTGACGATATGAGGGCTATTGTGTGCTGGAAACCCTTGGACTAATTGACCTGCAGCAGGGCGGTAGCACGATACGATAAAATCCTGAAGGCTTTCTTGTTGATTTAAAACGTTCAACAAAATATCTGTGGTAATTCGAATTGTGAATGTCTTTGAAGGTTTGAGTACCGGTGTTCAGTTCAAATATCAATCGACTTGTAACGAGTGGAAAAACAAAACGTGGCAATATCACCGAATAAATTATTTTAATGTTAAACTTGGGTACAATTTAATTTGATACTTGATTGAGCACAGCATTAAATAGCGTTGCAAAGAATTTCTTTTTTGGAAATACTTTGTTTATTTCTAGAGTCGGACATCTGTAATTTTAAAACTTATCATCATTAATACTATATGTGTTTTGTAATTTAAAATAGAGAGTTTTATCAGATTTACATTCAAATCCTTTGTATTGCCAAAAAGGCAAGTTTAAGTCTAAGGTTTTCTGAACCAAAAGCAATGGAATCTCACCATATAATATTATAGAAAATATGTTATTTTACGTATTATTTGTACATTCCAAAATGTAGTTAGGTAGGTACATATATTAGGGTACCTACGTAGGTACATATATACGTATTTTATGAATTAATGTATGTTTAAGATAAAATATTTGGCTTTATGGTGTGATATCTTCGCCTTTTCTGTATTGGAAAATATGTAGAAGACCATTAGAAATTATCATTAAACAAAACGTTATTTTTCGACTATATTATTATGTAAAATAAGTTTGCGTAAATTAAATGTTTATTGTAGTTTTAAACTAAGAAAATTTGATTTCCCTAAAAAAATAGTAATTCTTGTTCAAAAAATTTTTGCAACACAGTGATTACGATACTAAAAATAATCGAAAATGTTTAATGATATAGATTGATTTTTCAATTAACAGATGATAAATAAAACAGACATTCAGAATTGAGAGCCAATACCTTAAATTATAATTTACAAAACCAAAATTTTGTCTGTTGCAAAAAAAAATAACAAGTCAGTAGACTACTTTTTAATTTAGTTTGGTTATAATTAACATGATGGCTAACATCTTTCTGGTAATTTCGAAAAATCAGTTCTAAAGAAAGTGGTCAAGTTTGACATTGAATCTTGTTTTTGTTTATTTCCACGTTAATAAAGTATTACGTTGTTAGTATTAAGCCTCGCGACATACAGTTGGTAAGTTTGATATAGAATAGGGAATATTAGGGAATATTCTGACAGCTATATCCATAGATTATACACTTAATATATTTGAGAGCTATATCGGACGACCACGAATTGTTGTACCTATTTTGTAATGTTGTTTTTGCTTTGGACACGGTAAAAATACAGACCGGGAAGCGAAGCAGTGTGAAACTGTGATTAATGATCTTATTGTAATTAGTTACTAAATATATTTAAAGTATAGACTGTCGAAACTATTTTGTCTCTCTAAATAAAATTATTTGTATCTCACTCGCTTATAGTCTTTGAAGGCAAATCAGGCGACTTTGACTGTAATGTTTTTAAAACTAGGAGTTTTTATAAATCGTACTCGACCTGTCTCATCTAGGAATTAGATGGCATTAGTGATTTTGATAGATTTGCGACTTGATTAGCTAGTGCTGTATTTAACGCATTGGTTTAAAAATCTTTTTGTCACAATTTTATTTAATTGTAGGTACATTGTTTCAAGATAGAGAACGGTATGCCAGAGTATGCTTACTAAAAATACGTTATGATACTTGTAAGTTTCAAATGAAACATTCGCCTATATAGTTATGTGATTAATTCGTAAATGTAATGCGAATAAATGTTATGAAAATTACAATTTTGAGTTTTATTTCTGAGCTGAAGGAAAATTGAAACAACAGTTTTATTTTTCAAACTAGCGACCCGTCCTCGCTTCGCTTCGGAGACATCAAAATTATTGATAGCTGAGTCCCGCGATCTATCGCGGCTGTTGTCGTACCGCGGGTGACGCCGCGGGGCGGAACTAGTCCAAAAAAGTAGCCTAAGTTACTCCTTATACCATCAGCTACCGATCAGTGAAAGTCTCGTCAAGATCGGTCTAGCCGTTCCAGGGATTAGCCGGAACAAATAAACAGACAGATAAACAGACAGACAAAAAAAGAATTGGTATACGTACTGTGGTATACACACTTACGCATTTAATAAAAAAAGTTGTTATTTTATTACAAACAGACACTCCAGTTTTATTTATTTGTTTAAATGTCATGTTTGTTTATTTTTTATTTTAGTCTACCCACTGCTAGTAATCTCATGGAGTTGATACTAGCTTCATCAAATGTGTAAACGAACTCACGGGGCTGTCTTAGTGACGTTGCCAACATCTGCCCTAGCAAGAGCAGTGTTTCGCAGACTCTACCACTGAGATCGTGACCCACTGAGAAAATCCGGCGAGAAACTCAGTTGGCTGTGTCTGTAGCCTCTGTACTCGCCGAACCCTTTACTTGCCGAACCCTTCGTCGCAAGCGACGGGTTCGACGAGAACGATGAACGATGACAGGTGCTTGGGGTACCTAAAAGCACCGTTAGTGGATCGGGAGGATCCGTAATGACGTGTTTAGGGCGACGTCGACTGTTTACCATTCGGCTTACAGGATCGGGTATGTAGTTTCCGGCGGCCACGACATCAGGGTTTTCGTGTCGTGCCGCCTTTTCAAAGTGGCCCATTGATGCAGATTGAAAATTTTTACTGAAGGAGTCAAATTCCAGAGCCCTTTAATTACTAACCTTTTTACTGGTGGTAGGACCTCTTGTGAGTCCGCGCGGATAGATACCACCACCCTGCCTATTTCTGCCGTGAAGCAGTAATGCGTTTCGGTTTGAAGGGTGGGGCAGCCGTTGTAACTATACTGAGACCTTAGAACTTAATCTCAAGATGAGTAGCGCATTTACGTTATGAATGTCTATGGGCTCCAGCAACCACTTAACACCAGGTGGGCTGTGAGCTCGTCCACCCATCAAAGAAAAAAAAAAAGAAAAAAAATGCTGCAGAGGGTTTCGGCATTAGTTTTACGATTGGCCGGTCGGTCTAACGTCAATCCTTCTTGGGAATGCTATCGTTGGCCTGAGATGGTAGCCAGATAAAGACCCTTGATCCTTACGATACCCATTGGAAGATATGGGTCGGGTCTAATTCTAACAACTTCGGTCTACAAATCAATCGATAGTTTCGCCAGATCTATAATAGTTTGATTCAACGCAAAAAAGAAACGCACTCCTCATGAATTTATAATGAATAAATAAATGTAAATAAATAAACAAAATCTTTTCGATTCCATTAATGTGAATTTTCATAGCAGTTACGATTGATAATAATTGAGGCCTGTGTTTTTGTTACTTAAAAATAAAATACACATTTTTTATATTATCGTAAAGTTTAATTTTCCACAACAATTTACAAAAACATTGACTAGATACGACTAGGCAAGCCATTAATTATTTTAAGCGTATATCTATCTAGGTAGGTACTTCTAAAATCATCGCTAATACCAATATAAGTCGGTGCCAGGACGAATATTTGAATTATTTAAATGTTAAGTTAATGTTTTATTCATTGGACTCACACTTATAACCCAACAAACGCTAAATACTATCCACAACTAACTTTTAGTGACATTTCAAAACAGTACCTACTTGTGCAAAATGTTATGTTTTCGCTTCATAGGATTCTAGATAATAAAGATTGGTTTATTTTCTGAACAGCCTACCTGTTCCCATAATAACGTTCGTCTGCTTAAATATTTTGCATTACTTAAAATAAAAAGTAATATAAAAAGTATCAAGGCCTTTTTTTCTTGCCTATTTGTGTACAAGCTTTAGGAATTTCGTCGTCGAAAGACATAACTACACCAAATTTTATATATATATATATATATAGGGATACACATATTCATATGTACATCGACGCTTGAAAGGCAAACGTGACTAAGCGAAAATAACTGCTTTGTACATAAATGATAGGCAATAGCCATATTCTATACGCAAAAAATATATATTTCTAGGTCTATTAAAATCATTTCAATCCTACAGCTAGATTCGTTAAAATAGAATTTGTTTCAGGTATTTCAATTTTAAATTAGTCTACTGTAAAGTTCCACGCATTGTCTCTTAGTCACGTTTGCCTTTCAAGCGTCGATATATATGCGATCTTTTTTACAGGATTAATAACTAACCCACTTAAAAGTATTAGTCACGAAAATAAAACCAAGGAAATGAAATACGAAATGGTGTAAAAGCGTTTTTTTTTTTTTCGACATGCAAATCCGTCTTCTTCCACCACCTTAACAGAACCAAGTTTTGACTGGCGGACGGCCTTCCGCCGTCACCTCCTGTCACATAGGGCCCACCGGCCCGAACTTGCCCAGGTCCGGAACGTCAATACCGTTTGTATCCGGTTTCATCGACAAATAACCGGTCGTGTCCGACAAGAAACCAGTTTCGTTAGCATCGATCGGGGCGTAGTCGTCAGCGCCGTCAGCGATATCGACAATCGGATCTTTTATTTCGTAATTAATTATGTTCGCTTCGTTTAGTAGCTTCAACGATTCTTCCAGGACCGTTCTGGAGGGGTCGTGGAGGAGTTCCGGGGTGTGTCCTCGCGTGGATGCTGTGGACTTGCGGTGGTGCAGGGCGCCGGCGTAGGGCGGGGGTTGGGGTCGGTTGTAGTTGCTCGCTAGATTCGGTGTCGATTTCGGACTGTAAGACCGAGCGATGCTGTTGTTCGGACTTCATGAAACAGGTGTTAGGAACATTATCTATACATATAAATTTTAACGGCCGTCTGGTGTAGTGGTAAGTGACATGGTCACTACACAAGGGAGTTGCGGGTTCGACTCCCACCAAGGGAAGATATTTGTATGATGAATATAAGTGTCTTTTCCAGGGTTATGGATGTATATTGAATATATGTATGTGTATAATAAAAATCTTACATTTATTTCCGTTATCTGGTACCTGTAACACAAGTTCTTTACGAACTTATCACGGGACCAGTTAACGTGGCGTGATTGTTAGTAAATATTTATTATTTATTTATTTATTATATAAATAAATTTGGAATGTCTGTTTGCAATATTGAAATAACCGCTTTTTACTACATGCATATTAATATATATACGGTACATAGACCAAAATAATTTTTGTTAAAATTTTTGTCTGTCTGTCTGTTTGTTCCGGCTTATCCCTGGAACGGCTGGACCGATTTTGACGAGACTTTCACTGATAGGTAGCTGATGATATAAGGAGTAGCTTAGGCTTTTTTTAGACTAGCTTCACCCCGCGGCGTCACCCGAGGTACCACAATAAACGCGGGTAACATCGCGGGACTCAGCTATCAATAATAAAATTTCATGTTTCCGAAGCGAAGCGAGGGCGAGTCGCTGGTATAATATATAGTCTGACTGCTTTAATAATAATATTTACATAAATGATGGGCATGAGGATTGGCTCTAAATAAATACATTTCGATCATACTTCGACATATTTTGTTATTAATTTTACATCTGTTTAAAATACTGCAATTTATATAAAGTGATCTTAACAGTTTCATGACTATAGTGTAGAAATGGAATCAGCAACTTGTTTAGTATAATATTTTTTTAGCTCGGTTATTTAAATTACGTTAGTAAACTACTACTAATATTTGGAAGACTAATATTTAAATATTAATATTTTTACTAGTGGCAGGATCTCTTGTGAGTCCGCACGTGTAGGTACCACCGCCCCGCCTATTTCTGCCGTGAAGTAGTAATGCGTTTCGGTTTGAAGGGGAAGCCGTTGTAACTATACTGAGACTTTAGAACTTATATCTCAAGGTGGGTGGCGTATTTACGCCGTAGATGTCTATGGGCTCCAGTAACCACTTCACACCAGGTGATCTGTGAGCTCGTCCACCTATCTAAGTAATAAATAAAAAAGGGTTATACCTGGCGCCCAGACTTTTGGAGCTATTGTTGTCGGCGAGCTGAGGCTGCTCCGAACTGTCAGTCCCGCGCCGACCTAACTCTGATTTCGCTGATTTCTGAGCTCTGGAAGATCCAATAGACTATTTTGTTTAAGTTTAGCCTTTGTTTAAGTATATTTCTGCGCACAGCCAGAAAGATACAATATGTAGCAAGTTATGTTGAATACAGGGTGTTGGATGTTTGAAATTGTTATATGTTATTATGTATGCGTATATTATGGGTAGAGCGTCAATCATTATTGTTAAATTAATACGTGAAGCAAAAACTTTGTACCCCTTTTTACGAAAATTGCGCGGACGGAGGATTATGAAATTTCCTACATTTATAGAGAACTAGAGGTCCCGCAGTAGTCGAAATTCGACTATAATTAATTGGAATTGTAAGTTTGTACAATATTTTGATTGTATTTTACAAGTATTGTATAATCACAAATTTCGCCAAGACTACACTATAAAAAATATTAGCAAAGACAAACAATATTTAATCTATTCTCAATTTGACAACAGACGTCAAGAACAAAAGTTTGACAATAAACAGCATGCATGCGTGTGTGCGTCAAATACATGGTATGTAGTGTGTGTAATGTTTTCTTCATTGATTTATTGTATATTTTATGCATTATTTAAAAAAAATATTAGGATTATGCACTTCTTCTCTATATTCTCTATAAGTGTGGAAAATTTCATACTCCTCGGTCCGCGCAATTTTCGTAAAAAGGGATACAAAGTTTTTGCTTCACGTATTAATATATTAGAGAATGTAGAGAATACATAAGAAATACATTAAATCAATTAAAAAAATATATTACACACACTACTATGTATTTGACACAAAACATACATAATATAAATATACTCTTTTATTGTCAAACTTTTGTTATTGTTTAAAATCTGTGGTCAAATTTAGAATAGATTATTATTGTTTATCTTTAATATTATTTATCTATAGTGTAGCTTTGGCGAAATCTGTGATTTTATCATGGAAGTTTAATAATATTTGACAATAGAACCATAATAATATTTAGCTTATAATTTCAATTAATTATAGTCGAATTTCGACTACCGTGGGACCACTAGTTATTGATGATTGTAATTCGATCGCGTCCGTATTTTTTTTGATTCGATGTGATCTATAAATCCATTCCACATTACTTTTTTACCATGTTCTATTGTTTAGTAACCATACTTCCTTATGGCTGACCCGATTGCGCAATAGTTGTGCCTGGCATTGCCAAGCGAAGGGTCCTGAGTTTGATTTCCACTTCAGGCAAACGTTCGTATAACGATAAAGTTTCTTTGCCCTGGTATGTACTGGGTTTTTAATTTTCTCTTAGTACCATATAAATTTGAGCCAAAGCGACCGTGTGTGATTTATCTTAGATAATTTATTTATTTATGTAAAATATCATCAAATAAATAGCGTAAATATTTCGTTATTTATTAGATCAAAATATATCAGCAACATATTGTTAGGTTTTAGTCGCGCTTCAAATGTAATTAGGGAGGATTTATGGGTATTATTTACGGACTTTTACTCAAATGTAAGCAGTCGAGATTGATGTGTATGTACATTTATTTATAATTCTAGAGTGTTATCCTTTCGAATGGTAGAACTGTAAACAACAGCTTTAAAATGTAATTGCAGGACAATGACCACAACATCTTGCAACAAGACGAACCTATCACCACTACTAAAGAACTTGAGGTTTATAAATCGGACTGGAAAGGTTGGGGCAGAACTGGTTTAAACAGTCGGGGACGAAATAGAAGCAGTATTACCCGATTGTCGGCGATTGCTTTTTTGTCAACTAGATGTAACTTTTTTTTATTGCTTAGATGGGTGGACGAACTCACAGCCCACCTGGTGTTAAGTGGTTACTGGAGCCCATAGACATCTGCAACATAAGTGCGCCACCCACCAGATATAAGTTCTAAGGTCTCAGTATAGTTACAACGGCTGCGCCGCCCTTCAAACCGATATGCATTACTGCTTCACGGCAGAAATAGGCAGGGTGGTGGTACCTACCCGCGCGGACTCACATGAGGTCCTACCACCGGTAATTACGCAAATTATAATTTTGCGGGTTTGATTTTTATACACGATGTTATTCCTTCATCGTGGAAGTTAACTCTATGTAACTCTATGGAATGTTCTAAATATGCTAGTATTGTAGATCTCGTGTTAGGATAGGCCATTTTTTAATTGGGTATATCTTTGTTACGTTAGTATCAAGACTAGACTGTCCACACTCTGCCTTCGCCGCGCACTCGAGTACTTCGGTCATATTGCTCGGAAAACACCGGATAGCTTAGAGAGACTATTCGTGACAGGGAAGATCGAGGGAAAGAGACCGCGCGGGCGCAGTCCGACAAGGTGGTTCGACCAAATCCGCACCACACTAGAGATCCCATTCCACGACGCCCTTCATGCGGCCAATGATCGAAGGCGCTGGCGGCACATTACAAGGAGCCAAATTCTGTCGACATATAATTGTAACGACCCTCAGCAGTGAGGAAACGACGCGAGGAGTATATCTTGGTTAATATATAGCGTACAACAACAACTTTGTGGTGTTATTAATAAAAAATCACATAATCCAAATAAGGTTAGTTTGGGGTTAGATTACATTAAAGCGTTTGACCAAATTATCGAACCTCCTTTGTTTGTATTCAATGCAAATGTGAAATATGTTTTCGAAGAAGCTCTCGGATTCTGGATCGTTCCTGGAATGCATTCAGTTTTTTTGTACTACTACCTTCATGGGAGATTTTCTAAGAAGGTTTTACACTGAACCTTAGTACTGAAATAAGTTAACACGTTCGCCTGAGCAACGTCTTACGTCGTTTTTTTAAAATTATGAAATGGCGCAACGTCATATGACGGCCTCTAGATTATCATATTTATTTTGTCGGATCTTCTTTAGATGTCTATTTTCAGGGCAAATTCCTATGGCGCCATCTACTTAGCGCCGCAACACATTCGATTTTCATAACCTACAACGTCGCGTTCTTAAAAAAAAATCATCATAAGATGTACGTTTACGTTTTTAGAAGTTGCTAAACTTGGTCGCGATCCTCAGTAGTGAGGGAACGATATAGAAGAAGAAGAAGAAACTTTGTATGGGAAAAAGGTGGGCCACAGTAGCAATATTCAGAAATGAGGTTGCTCACGCAAACGTGTTAACCTCAATACATATGTAATTTTTGCTCTAGTCAGGCAGACCACGGGCTCACAGCCTTCAGTATTAAACAATCATATTATTATGATCATTAACATCTTGATGATTTAAGTAGAAATCTAAATGAAGACGCAGAAACGAAATCGCCGACGGCAAGTACCACTGGCCAGAGCTATGTACCACATGGACGATTACCTCGTGCTGTCGTATCATTACTTCTTACATTGCTCTAATAGTATTATTACCGTCAATCAACCGTGGAGACATGCACCAATGTATATTAAAATTACAGAAAATTTAAGTAGACTATTATTTTAAAGCAGCATTATAATCTGTAACACTAAAGTCTCTTCTATTTTTTGATTATTTAGATCTTTTTCTTCCTCTGGCAAAAATTCGCTGGAAGCCTAAGAGATTATTCCAGTTACGCCCTTCGAGTCACTTGTTCAACCTGAGAGAATTTGCTAATACTAGTCCTAGCAAGAGCAGCGTTTCGCAGAATCTACCACCGGGATCGCGACCCACTGAAGAGATCCATCTGGACACAGCTAGCCTACTGTCTACCACAAGTATGAGTGTACTTACACAGCAGCGTAATGGAAACAGACCAGCGCGGTCAGGGCGGCGACCGACACGGCCAGCAGTGCCAGGGGCGCGGCCAGGACGGCGGACAGCTGCCGCGCATAGCCCCGCGTCGGCAGCGAGTGCCGTGCCGGCGCCGACCAGGGGGCGGGGGCGGGGGAGGCACGCCCGGGCCGCCCCCCCGCCGGGGTGTCGCTCATGTACTCCAGTTGGACGGTCGAGCGGGGCTTGTAGTACGTCTTCAACTGAGAGCGGGGGAAGAGTACATATAAAAATAATATATGGCCGGTGTTAATTATGCTTGTCGGAGAAGACACAATTATTAACACCATCATCAGACATCGTAGGAGCGAATAGGGTGGTCGAGCTAAGAGCAATATTGAATACACCAACACGTTTGTCTTAGAACAAAAGATCTTCTCTTACGATAGCAAACGAAGACGAACGACAGTTCTTAGGACTGCGGCACCGCTCTTCAAGAAGGCTGGTTGGTAAGTGTGATGGCGTTTACGCGCCTCCATCGGCTATGGTCTGTTACAGCACGCAGTTAGCCGAGTTTCGATGATACCGCAATCGTGCTGCCATCTCTCGGGAATCGTGCTGCGTTTCGTTTAGCTACCAAATTAATGATCGTCTCCGACATACTCATTTATTCACATTTCATGATTCGTTTATTTAGTTTCAACGAACTCTATATATATTTTTTATAATTACTCAATACAAACACAATAAACATATAGTTAGAGCACTCAGTTGCAATCGGGCGACCATAAGACTCTTTCCTTTTTTTTTCTATGGAAATACGGAGTTTTTTTAACCGAATTTGACGGTAGTTAGCACAATATTCAAATGTTGAAAGACAATACTGGCGATTTTTTTCCTACCTATTCTAGTAACCACGAGGGGCTATACTAGATTCGCCGCGTTAGTAGGTGAGCTCACGGGGCTCTAACTTGACGAATTGGATAATACTAGCCCTAGCAAGAGCAGTGCTTCACAGAATCTACCATCGGATCGGAAACGCACCCTACTTAGAAGATTCGGCGAGTAGCTCAGTGGGCTGTGTCTGAAAGTTGAAGCCACGAAGTAGCTGTAATTATATCAACGAATCATTTAAATAAAAGACGCACCAGCTCAAACCTGCACCAGTCAAGGGTGAGGCCGGCGTCCCTGAAGAGTCTTTCGACTGTGGTCCTCTTGTAGTCGCGAGGGCAGCTCGGCAGCTTCGACAGGGGGCGCACCTCCTCGCGGAGACGTTTCAGTTCGGACGAGAACGGGTGCGAACTGCCCAGCCGGACCACCAGCCTGGGACCGCACCAAGCAAACTGCTTATGATGATACGCGCTTTGTTTTGATGGCCCTAGGCTTGGACTTTCACGTGTGTTGGACCAGGCACAACAAGGTCTCTGAATTAATGGCCTAAATTAAAACACAAGCGATGTGGTCAAATTTCGCTAGAACTTTACTATATTTCTAATGGCACAGATCTAATGGTATCTGTGATGAGGGGAAAGGGAAATCAAACCTGAAAAAAATGGAATGGGCGTAATTACTGATGAAATGCAGTCTTCTGAGCCTACGCAGGCTTGGTCCACCGCCCTGCATATTACTGCCGCGAATCAGCTAAGCATTCCGGTTTTGATGGTATGACAACTATAACATATCATCATCATTCTCCAGCCCTTCTCCCAGTCATCTGGGGTCGGTGCAACATGTTTTCTCCTTCGATACTTTTCTATTGTATACCATTTCGTAGCTCACTCCTCTCATACACATCATCTTTCAGGCAAGCCATCCATTATTTCTTAAGTCTACCTCTCTCTGTAAAATGTACGACAGCTGTAACATTATATGAATACTGATTCAGTAAGCTTACCCCTCACCGTCGCTGGGTTTCAGCGGCAATCTGGCACCAAGATCTATGGCCGAAGCTAAGAACGTGGCGTACAGATCTTGACTGCTTTCCGTCCAGAGTTTGGTCCTCAGAATATCTTTCAAACGATTCATCCTTGAAACAATGATTTGAGATTCTCAAAATGTCTGATTTAGAATTCTTTGGTTTAATCAATAATCATCATTGAGTCGCCAGCGTCTATGGGCTTTATGGCCTTCTTGGTTCCTATCACCAGGCAGGCTTGAAGCAACATGAGACATTGGTCAATCTTGATGTTTTTTTTTTGTTTTTTTCTTTTATTGCTTAGAAGGGTGGATGTGCTCACGGTCAACCTGGTGCTAAATGGTTAGCGGAGTCCATAGACATCTACGACGTAAATGTCTTGAGATATGAGTTCTAAGGTCTCAGTATAGTTACAACGGCTGCCCCACCGTTCAAACCTAAATGCATTAGAAGTCAATCGTGAACAATTTTTAAGTACGCATTTCGTTAGAAAAATTGGTACCCGCCGGTAGGATTCGAGCACCGGTGCATCGCTTAACGCGAATGCAGCAGACGTCTTATCCTTTAGGCCACGACGACTTCTATGTTATTTTACTGTCTTGCATCGACTCTTCTTGTGATCTGGGATTGGTAATGCAGGTTATGAATTCGTAAGAGGATGAGGTTTAGGAAATAAAAATTTACTAGTATCCGGTCAACGATCGGAATTCGACCATAATGACTGATAACCCAAGATTTATATTCATCTGATGTATAATTATGTATGTATCTTTATTGTTATTGTCATTTCTTTCTTGACTGGAGATAATTCTTCATTCTTTATTTTTTATTGTACACACACAGTTAAAACAATATAATAATTACGAAAAGTTATAAAAACGGCGAGCTTAACTCAACAATTGAGTTATCTACCAGCTAACCGTTATAATCGTTTGGCCAACAGGAAAAATGGTGAATATCTCTGTCTGTTTTTCAATGAATTAATTTTTTGGGGTTCTACGAATACATCTATATGATACATCGTGAGAAATTAGTTCCAGCTCTCAATAGTATTAGAATTGCCGCTGTCCCACCACGAGCAGAATGGCTGCTTCACCCCAAAAAGAAGAAGGGGAATAGAAGTAGAGTAGGAACATCAGGTGAGGAATGCAGGATATTACTGCTATAAATGAATGATTGTAGAAGCCATAAAAAAGACATAAAGATGGTCAACTTATCATCACGAATTTGTGAAGGAACTAATTCCTTTATTGACCGACTTCAAATAAAAATGGATTACTCTATTTGGGCGTATGTCATACGAGACCTACCGGTGTGCGTCTAACAAGTCCTCGACGTTCAAGTTGTCGATCTTCAGCTCAACTTCGTGGCTGGCCATCTTCTCCTTCTTCTCGACCTTCAGGGTCAAAAGTACGCGGCGCGTCTCAAAGTCTTGACGATTCAAACCGATTACTTCCAGCTGTAATGTGACAAGTCTAGGTTCACATAAAATGTTGCTACTTTTTTACTTTAAGCTTTAGTCTTTTTTTTTATTGCTTAGATGGTTGGACGAGCTCACAGCCCACCTGATGCTAAGTGGTTACTGAAGTCCATAGACATCTACAACGTAAATGCGCCACCCACCTTGAGATATAAGTTCTAAGGTCTCAGTATAGTTACAACGGCTACCCCACCCTTCAAACCGAAACGCATTACTGCTTCACGGCAGAAATAGGCGGGATGGTGGTACCTACCCGAGCGGACTCACAAGAGTTCCTACCACCGGGCCACCAGTAATCCTTCAATCATAAAAAACAATTAAGCAAGCAATTTTTATCCAAAATTTCAGCTTTGTAATAACGTAGAGGCCACCAGTAAGCACTTATTAAAAAAAACAACAATTTATTTTTCATTGGCTGATTGCATTTGTAGTCCACGCGAAAATTCGGACTTACCGTTAAAGGTCCTTCGGTGCCCCTGGGTGGGGTACCGAATATGAAGCCAGAGTGATGTCGCCCACTGTAGATATAGTGAAGCCACTGTGGTAGCTCAGGCTTACCCAGCAGCGACGCGTGAAACCGGTACTGCTGGTCGAACTCTGAAGTTTTCAATCAGATTTCTTAGAATCTCTTTTATAGCCGTTTTATTTTTTAATTCCCCTTTCGATGTTAAACGTCTGCGGTATTTTATTTTCCAGTGTTACGGGCAAGGGCGGATCCAGCTTTGGCGCCAGGAGGGGGTCACATAGTCGTGGGCAAGTTAAGAACTTATAATTTAATTTTGATAACAATAGATAATAAATAAATCATGATGTTCTTTAATTAGTCCAAGTTAGTTTCAAGTCCTGGAACTAGCTCAGGGGGGGGGTCATGACCCCCATGACCCTCCCCCCCCTGGATCCGCCGTTGGTTACGGGTTACTTGCCACGACATAGCTATGTGCATAGTGCGAGCTTTTTAACTTGTTTAATTTGTAAGAGCTTCCCTTCGTTTGCCGCTAGGGGCGCTGTTCTAACTCCATACAAATTTGAGTTTACTTTTACGCGGTCGAGAAGTTAAAAAGCTCGCACTAAGCACACTGAAGCATGAAGTTGAAATCTCACTGTGAAGTCCTGTCGCAACTCTAAAATCCCAAAAAACCACATTGGGGCACAAGCAGACTGAAAACTGGCATGAATAATAACCCACACAGTTTTACAATATACGCTAAAACTACATTACCTACAAAATAACATTGTCTTCGTGATATTCACAATAGAAAAATGATAGGAGAGGGTTTTAAAAAGTGAGATTTTACATAGTTAGTGACGGGCGATTAAGAACAAACAGCCTAAGCCGTCGGAACTAGATATTATACTTATAAATTGAATTGTGCACGAAAACTCTAAGAAGTGCAATAAGCAAGGGATGACAATACGTCCTACATGTCTGCACTTAAGTTAACTTTTACCTTGGTAAGTCCAATTAAATAAATTAGGGCTGATTGGTATAGCGAACATTTCCGTTTCGACGGCCGTATGCACCTGAGCGGAGACCAGGCACGCTGTTAGCAAAGCCGAACACAGCAGTGCGTTTGCCATTGTGGTCCTAACGAAAAAAAAATGCATTTCAAATATGGGACGTAATTAGATTTAATTATTTTCTGATTTAAGACCGCATTGATAATAATTAAATTGGAGAAGATGTGGCTATATTCACAGTTTCAAAGTGTAATTTAAAAGATTAAGTAAGTACATTAGTAAAAACTGCTGATCATCGTTCTTGTCGAACCCGTTGCTTGCGAAGGGCGAAATTAACACACAGACACAGTCCACCGAGTTTCTCGTCGGATTTAGTGGGTCGCGTTTCCGATCCACTGTTAGTTTCTGCGAAGCACTGCTCTTGCTAGGGCTAGTTTTAGCAACATCGTCAGGTTTGAGCCCCGTGAGCTCACCTATTTGTTAGGGTTACGCTGAAATAGCCTCTCAAGGCCATTAGCTTAGGTAGGAAAAAAGTAAAAGTTGTGCCTCACCCCCGCGTCTTCTTCCTTATTACTGATGAAATATTAGTTTCTCTTTAATGATGCTGCTACATCTGTCCTTAGGATCATGAGAGGATTAAGAATTAGAAATCAGGAATAAGAATATAGTGTTGAGAATTAAGCGAATTCGGTAGGAGTATCTGATTGGGCTGCGAGCTCTTGGGAACGAAAGGTATTGGACATTCATTGGTATTGGTATACCATTTTTATTTGAGCAACAGTTTTACAGCTTCACAATAGATAACATAGTACAATTACGTCGAAAGAGAGTTGGAAATTATTCGATAAATGAACTTAGCTATATTCTTGTTTTTAGGGGGTTCAGAATTCTAGTACCTTATTGAAGGTGAACGGAACTAACGAAGGATGTTATAATCGAATTGTATTGGGTGCCGTTGAAAAAGTGTTATGGCTTCACAATCAAAATCCATGTGTATTCAAGGAGAGGGGGCTGCGCCCGAGGGTGCTCCATCGGGACCAAGCGAAAATGCAGACAGAATTGTAATTAAGACAGAAATTTAATGCTTCGCGAATACAACTACTATCGGAGTTGTGAGCCGCTGAGAAAATCCGGCGAAAACTCAGTGGGTTGATGTATGGATTAAGTTTCACGTCGAACTCTTTAACTAGTTCGACGAGTATCAGCTACAAGGATCTCTGCTCCTAAGTCCCTGCTGCTAAGTCCCTGCTGCTTAAACTAAGATAGATTCGGATATAAATAGACGCGAGAGCTGTCCTGACAGATTACTGGTGGTAGGACCACTTCTGAGTCCACGCGGGTAGCTAACACCACCCTGCCTATTTCTGCCGTGAAGCAGTAATTCGTTTCTTTTTGTAGGGCGGGGCAGCCGTTGTAACTATACTTGAGACCTTAGAACTTATATCTAAAAGTGGGTGGCGCATTTACGTTGTCTTTGGGCTCCAGTAACCACTTAACACCAGGTGGGCTGTGAGCTCGTTCAGCCATCTATGCAATAAATATGAAAGATTAATTATTAATGCTGTTGGACCCTACTAGTTCTAACGTCAACAGTAACGAAGGTACAGGAGAGACTCGTCCAAAAGTGCTCCATGTATTTTTTCAGAGCGTGAACTAAGCCTCCTACACGATTCCCGCGTTTAAAGGGGCGCATGTGGTATGGGGAGCTTAGTAGCCAAAGGTGTGATTGTTCGACTTAATTAATAGATAAAAAAAATTACACCCGGTAAGGCAATTAATAAAATACAAATACAAAAGGTATGTATGACCCACGTAGGTTTATTGAAACTCTTTTGGAATTGCAGGCAAATTGAGACGAATTTGGATTTCTATATTACTGAATTTCAAGAATCCTATTTTAAATATTAAAGAAAACCTTGTTGACATTTTAGTTACGAGTCATAAACACCGTCTTTCGGGAGATACCTACACATGGTATCGGTAAAGGAAACTTAAAGATATTAATTACGGAATTATTAGTATTTCATTATTTATTTATAATGAATGTAATATGGATGTAACGTCTGAAATAAATGAATATAAATAAATTCATAAACCCATAAAACGAAGCACAACGATTGTCTTGTAGTTGTAAAATGTATTTTCTCGTATATTGATTTTTATCGGATAAAAATAATAATTTATAGGCAGGTGTTTTTGGTCGTAATCTCTAAATCTAAGTAAATTTAACATGCTCGCACCGTTTCTATTTATTGTGACATTATATTTGTATGGAACTACTCGCTAAATTTAATCACAATACACTATAAGCAAGCTAGGTTAGTCCTTAATAATTATTTTCAATGCTGTTACTGCAAACATAGCACAAATAAAAACAAACTAAAATAGAAACCAATAAAATTTATTAAAAAAACGTGCCAAGAACGCTTCGTTCTATTTTGAAAATTATAACAGAGGAAACGCTAAAAGTACAATTATGAGTAATGTTTACGTTTAAACGCTTCTGATAAATACCTTTCGTTCACACCGCGGCCATTTGAAGTAAAACAACGACCTGATTAACGTAAATAGAAAATAAATCGATTGAAGGTTTCAACCTCAGCGATCGTGAGTGGAATGGGAAATGGGAATCCTGGATCGCATGTGCGAGGCGGGAACGCCCGTCAGACAGAGACGTAATGTGATCTTTAGAAAATTATGAGTTTGGCTGTTTTTTGGGTATTTCAAAATAGTTAGGCATTATTGTAGTTCCGCGAGTTCATCTTCTTTTTCAACAAAATTGTAGATGGCATGATTTCCAGTATTGATCAAATATGTATCCAATTTATTTTTAACACTTTACACGTGTTCGTAAGCGACCAAGCTTCACTTTTCATAGGGCATTCACGATATGATTCGTTTTAAAATTAGCACTTAAAGTCAGATGGAATGTGAAACTGTGTATAAAAATAAAAGATGTTTTTGTCTCTACAAAAAATTATACTAAAAACAAAACACGAAGCAACTACAAGACTTGTGTCTATTAATCGATTACGTATTTCTTGCCCTTCAAACATCAAACATTCATTTTCCTTTATATTTATTTACTTGCGTATTGAAGTCGTAAATATTTATTTTGAGTTCGGCCCTGAAGTGGGTTATGACGTCAAACTCCAATGGACGTCATAATGTAGTACCCGTCTAAATTAAAGAGAGCATATACGTTCCGTTCTACGTGGAGTATAGATTAAAAACTACAATATTAAGCAAACTCTTAAATTTTAATTACAAACACAATCCTAAATTGTTCGATTGGTGTTAGATTGGCATAACGTGTATTTTTTTTAACATACTGTTAATTAGCTTTTCGTAATTTTTTTCCACCCGAACTATGTTTTTAATTTGGTATCATAAATTGATGATTGTTCTCGCGGATGTGGGTGTAGAAAATATAGAAATGTCAGTCATACACATAAATGTCAAACGGCTAGTTGTACGATTTTTCGTTAGCCGAATGCGTGTAAATAGCAAAAAAAATAACAAAAACATTAATAAAATGTAATCTACATTGGTTGTAGATACGGCTTTCAAACGCCTTTTATGCGAAACAGGTGAAAAAGAGTTATTTGGGCAGTAACATCACGGTAGAATAAGTTTGTTTTTCAATTGAAAGCGCATCGGGAACATGTTGAAATTTAAAAAAATGGGGTCGGATAAAGTGCCTTTGCTACTCGTTACCGCCAACGTGGGATCTATATTCGAAGATGTAAGTTTTAAAGTAAAATTAACTAATTAAAACTACACCGCTAAACCGCAGGCGACGTTTATAATTACGCCCGCTAATTGAATTAAACATCGCGCGCGAAACAAACGGAAGATAAATGTTCTAATTTTAAAACAATGAGTGAGACGGACTAGCTGGAAATATTTTTAAAATGAATGAGTAATTATTCTTAAATGTTTCGGCATTGTATTTTCTACTATACTTTACAATGCAGTGATTGATAAAAAAATGAGAAGCCTCAGATTGTAACACATAGGAATTATTTAAATCATATTTTTAAACATATTTTTTAGAAACAGTAAAGTTATTTTTCCAAATTTTGAAATGACATAAAATTTCCTGTAATGGGCTATCTATAGGCATTTTGTCATTTTATGGTAAATATACGCAAGATGTAAATGAAAAGTGTGCTTATATTGACCAAAGATAGTCTGCCTATCTAATTCAAAAAAATACATTGCACAAAAATACAAATGGAAAATGCCATATCTATCGTTGTTACAAACAAGCAACTGTTGATGAGGGTAGTTCATTATAGATTCAAGATGTCAAAGAGCAAATATATCTTAAAATAGGTTGTGCATAAAAACAAAGGCTTAAAGTATTGGGGGTATACTACCTGATTAGCCGATTGTGCAATAATAAGAAAAATCTGTATACTCTAAAATACAGGTTTGTCAACAATTAAATGTGGGTGGTTTATTGATGAATTTAATCCCCTAACAAAAAATTTGTTACTAGATAATCGACATTAGAAGTAAAACCCATTCTTTGCTTATTAACACATTATGAGCAATAGTAAATATTACTAAAAGAGACACTCGTATAAAGTCAAAATTAATTGAAATGTTACTATGGGTTTGAATGATGGAATGGGAAAAGTGTGCAGTACCACTCGGTAACTCTTGTAGATTAGTTTCTTTAGCTGGTGTTATAGTTAAAACATATGTGACTATTTTTAGTAGCGCGTACTTACCCATAACCCCGTATTTAAATAGTTTTACATAGTTGAATGGATTTATTTTCTAACTTCTAGGTCTTTTTAATTATTTATTTATAAAAAAAAATCGATTCAACTTCTTAGTCTATATTTCAAAACATCAAAGGTTATTTACAATAGTTTTTGTTCGAAGCCTAAATAAAATGTGCAGCAGTCACAATCAGGTATGCAAATTGCAGGCATGCAGGCACCACAATATTTGTATTTAATATTAATGAAACCTACTAATGAACAGCTGTGACCACTGCTATTCATAGGAAAAACATTGATTTATTGAAACCTTCCATCAAGTTTCCAACAACAACTTTTGAAGCTGTATCATAATCAGATGAACGATTAAGCAACACAACATGTTTTATAATGATAAAAGCATTATTGCTTTGTTACATGCTGTAAATTATGGAGATTTGTCGTTGACCTGCCTTTAGTATCTTTCAATGGTTGAGGTTTGAGGGAAGTTGTTATTTTTAAGTGAATGCGAACCATTGTTTCAATGCCCGTGGACTTCAGAGAGTGAAATCTGTCATTGGCTTTAAGATATGAAATTGAAGTTTCACTTGTAACTATTGTGTAAACTAGCCATTACCCGCGTCTTCATCTGCGTCGTCAAGAAAAAGTGTCAATAAATTTTCTGATATATTCTAAAGTGTCACGTAATTTTTCTAAAGATAATAAGACAGTTTTCTGTGAGAATTACATATTTGTTTGGGATAAAAAGTAGACATTTGAACCAAATATATCTCTTTGAAAAATTTTCAAACTGCTGCTTTGCTCCGATGTCAAAAAAGGACCAACTAACATGCTCTCTCATTTATAATATTTATAATATGGATAAGTTACGTTTTCCTTCAATGCGGACCGTTTGCATGTAGTGCGGAATGAGCAGGATGTTAGTTTTTTTCCCTGTCTACATATTCGCTGGTAACCTAGGGGGTTATTGCAGCTACGCCCGAACGGGTGAGTTCGCGGGCTGAACCTGAGAGGATTTACTAACACTAGCCTTAACAAGAGCAGTGCTTCGCTACCATCGGATCTCAGTAGGTTGTGTTTATGGGTTAGTTCGTCGAACTCTTCCACGACGAGAACGGTGACCGGTGCTTGAAGAGTCTAAAAGCACCGAGAGTGAATCTGGGGCGATCCGACAAGACATTTGAAGTCGTCGTGGCCTGAAGGATAAGACGTCCGGTGCATTCGTGTTGAAGCGATGCACCGGTGTTCGAATCCCAGACGGGTACCAATTTTTCGAATGAAATACGTACTCAACAAATGTTCACGATTGACTTCCACGGTGAAGGAATAACATCGTGTAATACAAAATCAAACCCGCAAAATTATAATTTGCGTAATTACTGGTGGTAGGACCTATTGTGAGTGCGCGCGGGTAGGTACCACCACCCTGCCTATTTCTGCCGTGAAGCAGTAATGCGTTTCGGTTTGAAGGGTAATGCAGCCGTTGTAACTATACTGAGACCTTAGAACTTATAACTCAAGGTGGGTGGCGCATTTACGTTGTAGATGTCTATGGGCTCCAGTAACCACTTAATATCAGGTGGGCTGTGAGCTCGTCCAACCATAATAATATAAGCAATAAAAAAAACATGCATCGGGCGACTGGCTTTGCGTTTTCCTTTCGCCTGGGTCGGTTATGATGATGTTAGTATCTACCCGCGCGGTCCCACAATTCGTCCTACTCCCAGTAATAACGCATAGTCATAAGATTTGCGGTTTGATTTTATGTTGCGATGTTTAGGTCCGCGATGTTATTCCTTCATAGTGGAAGTTGTTCGTAAATCACGTGTTATCGATTTATTTACTTAGAAAAAATATATACAAATGCTAATAGGATTTGAATCTGTACTGTCGGGCCGTGTGCTTCCATTAGGCCTTGACAAAAGTTTGTCATACATTATTTTTATATCTGTTCTAAATTTGTTTTATAATTTTCATAAACTTAATAGGTCTTAATAGGTTTTTACTGGTTGTAGGACCTCTTGTGAGTCCACTCGGGTAGGTACCACCGCCTTACCTATTTCTGCCGTGAAGCAGTAATGCGTTTCGGTCTGAAGGGTAGGCCAGCCGTTGTTACTATACTGAGATCTTAGAACTTATATCTCAAGGTGAGTGGCGCATTTATGTTGTAGATGTCTATGGGCTCCAGTAACCAGGTGGGCTGTGAGCTCGTCCACCCATCTAAGCAATAAGAAAAAAGGTCGGGATATTGGACTGAGCTATACGAGTATAAGTTTTTCGTTTACCATTTGGCCAAGGAACCCCAAAAGTGTTGAGCTCAATATTACTTGGATTGCGTATTCAACGGACCTTTAGTAAAAATATACGGTCGCTTAAATTGGAAATTATTACGTTTCCAAACTAATTTGTAAACATATATTCCGGGTCGTTGACAATGGCCGAGGGTTAAAGTCTTGGTTGCTGTGAACTTGTCATTGTTACTAACAACAGGTCCTATGGTCCGCGAAGTCGTACGAGTTTGTAAATATGGTACTACTACAGTGGTCCGCGCGTTGTTGGAATATTCCTATAAGCTACCAACGATTAGGCAGGGAAAAAAGTACAACTGACCTTTTATTCCGGTCATGGCCCAAAACCAACGGCGGATCCAGGGGGAGGGTCATGGGGGTCATGACCCCTCCCTAAGCTAGTTCCAGGACTTGAACTAAGTTGGACTAATTGAAGAACATCATGATTTATTTATTATCTATTGTTATCAAAATTAAATTATAAGTTCTTAACTTGCCCACGACTATGTGACCCCCTCCTGGCGCTAAAGCTGGATCCGCCCTTGCCCAAAACAGGCGAAAATACGTGTCAAGTATAATTGCATTATGAGAACTAGTGGTTTCGTCTAGCGGAGTTAAAGTAAAACGATTAAAAAAATCGATTATCATTTTTCAAATATCGTGTAATCAATTGCCATCCGTCATCGAGAAATCTAATATAATATGTACATATATATAAAAAAACAGGTTAAAACAAAACATTAGAGTATCATTTTCGCTTCTGTTTGTAATTGTAATCGATTTTGTGATTTTGTTGATGTTTAATTATTGATTTTGAGGAGTAGGTATTAGTGTGTTAACGATTTTACGAGAACACGGATCACTAGATACGTTTTTGGTAAAGTTTAAAATGAGCTGACGACAACTTTTTTTTATTTTTTTTTATTGCTTATATGGGTGGACGAGCTCACAGCCCACCTGTTCTTAAGTGGTTACTGGAGCCCATAGACATCCACAACGTAAATGCGCCACCCACCTTGAGATACAAGTTCTAAGGTCTCAGTATAGTTACAACGGCTACCCGACCCTTCAAACCGAAACGCATTATTGCTTCACGGTAGAAATAGGCAGGGCGGTGGTACCCACCCGTGCGGACTCACAAGAGGTCCTACCATCAGTAATTACGCAAATTATAATTTTGCGGGTTTCATTTTTATTACACGATGTTATTCCTTCACCGTGGGAGTCAATCGTGAACATTTGTTGAGTACGTATTTCATTAGAAAAATTGGTACCCGCCTGAGATTCGAACATCGGTGCATCGCTCAACACGAATGCATCGGACGTCTTATCCTTTAGGCCACGACGACAACTTAGTAGTTAATGGACTAAATGGAAAACAATATGCACGCCGCTGCTCGAAATACGTATGTTAGGTTCCGGACAGACTGCCAGGAAACTAGGATACTTCTAATATGGAAGAAGTAGCAGTCTTGTGGACCCTGAAGTTGCTAACACGAACCCTAGCAAGAGCCGTGCTTCTCAGAATCTACCACCGGATCAAAAACGCGACCCACTGAGAAGATCCGGCCAGAAACTCAGTGGACTGTGTCTGTGGGTTAATTTACTCGTCGAGCCCTTCGTCGCAAGCGGCGGGTTCGACGAGAACGATGACCGGCATGTTACCAAGGCGCTCTTCGATCACAAAATTAACAAATCAGTATTTGAAATAAGATCTACGTGTA